TGGCATTTCCTCACCCTGCCTCGCAGCACAGCAACAAAGCTCTGCTCACTGGGCGCCCGGCCAGGCGCCGCTCGGTGCCTCGCATACCTCTCAGTGGTAGGTCGCACAGAAACCCTGGGAATTACTCATCATAACCATCTGATGCTACAAGTGAGGCTGCAAGAGGTCCTTGGCGGCAGGGATGATAAGAGGCAGGACCAGGATTCAAACCCAAGTCTGTGGGCTGTAGCAGGGCAGCTTCACTGTGGCCTGTGTTCTGCACAGCCCGAGCCTTGTCCCGGCTCCCTGGCCTCTGAGGACAAGCACTCAGTTGGGAAGCCCCAGGGGCTGGGCTAGGCGCGGGGAGAAGCTGGGTGGTTAGCAGAGAGGCTGCCTTTGGGTGGCACAGGCAGAGCAGCCAGCAGCCCTTTCCTCTCTGGTAGCCTGCAAGGCTGTTAAGAGCTGTGAGAGGATTAGAGAGAAATGGCTGAGCCCGAGAGGAGGAAGTGCGGAACTGCAGGCCTGGGATGCTGGCTGCCCTAGAGCTGGCGGCGACAGAGGGGTGGGTGTTCTCCAAGGTGGAGAGTAAAATGTCCACCTGAGGCCCAGGCCTTACTGCCAGGTCAGCCTCCCAGCCGGGGTCCCCGCCACGCCCGCCGGGAGAGAGCGCCCCAGAAGGCTAGCTCTCTGGCCCTGAGGATGCTGTGGCCTTCCCTGTGAGACTCAGCCAGGAGGACGTGGGCAGGAGAGGCGCAGAGGCCCTGTGCTGCGGGGAAAGGACATTGGCTTGAGAGTCCCACAGACTTGAACTCCAAGTGCCACTTAGCCACTTACCAGTTGGTGACCTTAAGCAAGTCCCTTAACCTTCGTGGCCTCAGTTTCCTCACCGAACAAACGTGGTGAGGATTAAGTAGAACAATGGTGACTGAATCAGGCCAGGTGCAGCGCAGAGTGCTTCGTTATTTCATTTGGTTCTCACAACGGCCCTGGTAACGTTGTTATTACTTCCAGTCTACAGAGGAGCCTTGAGGTTCAGAGAGGACAAATAACTTGCCAAGGTCATATGGCACCTTCTAGACCAGTGGTTCTCAACCTTCCTAAAGCCGCGACCCTTTAATACAGTTCCTCATGCTGTGGTGACCCCCAACCATAAAATTATTTTCGTTGCTACTTCATAACTGTAATTTTGCTACTGTTATGAATTGTAATGTAAATATCTGATATGCAGGATGTATTTTCATTGTTACAAATTGAACATAATTAAAGCATAGTGATTAATCACAAAAACAATATGTAATTATATATGTGTTTTCCAATGGTCTTAGGCGACCCCTGTGAAAGGGTCGTTCGACCCCCAAAGGGGTCGCGACCCACAGGTTGAGAACCGCTGCTCTAGGACCTACTTGTTCATCTTCCTGACTGTCCATCGAGCTCGTTCTTCTCCAACACCATATTTCAAATGAATCATTTTTTTTTCCTATGAGCCTTCTTCACTATCCAACTTTTGCATCTGCACATAGTGATTGGGAATATGAGGATGATCTTAGCTTGTAGGTTGTATAAAATCAGGCAGCGAGCTGGATTTGGCCTGGGGTCTGTAGTCTGCTGACTGCTGGAGTAGAGTCTCAGAAGCATGCTTGGAGACAGAAGGAAGCCAATCTGGTTTTGCAAATTTAGAGAAACCACACACTATCTATCGTTTTCACCTCAGTGTGTGTGTGTGTGTGTGTGTGTGTATGTGTGTGTGTGTGTGTGTTCTCCAATTCAAAGAGCAGATTTATTTTTTAATTTTTCAAATTTTGCTAACACAGGATTAAAAAGTCAAAACATTCTGTGCAGAAGAATTCCAAATAAATCCATAATTTATGCAGATAGCCCACCAGGAAGATGGAGCATAACTCCCCACTCCTGAAGTGTGGGCTTCATACAGTGACTTCCTTCCAAAGAGCACCGTATAGAGAGCAGGGAAGAACAGTCTCTTCACTAAACGGCGTGGGAAATTGGACAGGTGCATGCAGAAACATGCAACTAGACCACCAACTCACACCCTACACAAGAATAAACTCAAAATGGATAACAGACTTAAATGTAAGTCTCAAAACCATACAAATTCTAGAGGAAAACATGGGTAGTAAAATTTCAGACATCTCACGGAGCAATATTTTTGCCAATGTGTCTCTGAGGGCAAGGGAAACAGAAAAAAATAAGCAATGAGACGACATCAAACTAAAAAGCTTCTGCACAGCAAATGAAACCATCAACAAAACAAAACGGGAACCCACCCTATGGGAGAACATATTCACTAATGATTCATCTGATAAGGGGTTAATTTCCAAAATATATAAAGAACTTACACAACTCAATACCAGGAAGACAAACAATTCAATTAAAAAAATGGGCAAAGGACCTGAATAGGCACTTTTCCAAAGGAGATATACAGATGGCGAATAGACATATGAAAAAGTGCTCAAGGTCACTAATCATCAGAGAAATGCAAATTTAAACTACAGTGAGCTATCACCTCACACCTGTCAGAATGGCTACTATCAATAAATCAACAAACAACAAGTGCTGGCAAGAATGTGGAGAAAAAGGAACCCTAGTACACTATTAGAAGGAATATAGTCTGATACAACCACTGTGGAAAACAGTATGGAATTTCCTCCAATCAGAAAGAATATATGCACCCCTATGTCCATAGCAGCACTATTTATAGTAGCCAAGATCTGGAAACAGCCCCAGTGCCCATCAGTAGATAAGTGGATAAAAAAGCTGTGGTACATTTACACAATGGAATACATGGTTGTAAGAAAGAAGGAACTCTTGCCTGGCCAGCATGGCTCAGTGGTTGATTCCCAGTCAGGGCACATGGCCGGGTGGTGGGCTTGGTCCCCAGTGTGCGGCATGCAGGAGGCAACCAATCAATGATTGTCTCTCATCATTGATATTTCTATCTCTCTCTCCATCTTCCTTCCTCTCTGAAATCAATAAAAATATATTTTTTTAAAAAAGAAGGAACTCTTACCCTTTGCGACAGCATGGATGGACCTGGAGATTATTATGCTAAGCGAAATAAGCCAGTCAGAGAAAGACAGATACCATATGATCTCACTAATATGTGGAATCTAATGAACAAAATAAGCTGATGAGTAAAATAGAACCAGAGGCATGGATACATGGAACAGACTGATAAATGTTAGAGGGGAGGGGTGGGGGGGCTGGATAAAAGAAAGGGAAGGGATTAGCTAAAGAACAGATATGCATAGCCCATGGACACAGACAATAGTGTGGTGAGGGCCAAGGGAGTGGGGAAAGGGCCAAGTGGAAGTGGGCAAAGGGGAGGGCAGTTGGGGGGCATCTGCAATAGTGTCAACAATAGAAATGTTTTTAAAAGAGAAAGAAAGCAGGAACGAAGAGTAACTTTACTGTGGAGAAACATGACAAACACTACCTCAGCCACGTGATCAAGGTCAACTCCACCATGATAAGTCATGTTCATAGTACGTACCCTGGATATGATGTGATGAGAATGGCCCATCACCTTTGCGATCTTTCTCCCCAAAATCCATAACCCCAGTCTAATCATGAGGAAAACATCACACAAACCCTAGTTGAGGGTCACTCTACAAAATACCTGACCAGCATCAAGGTCACCAGGAACCAGGAAAGCCTGGGAAACGCTCACGTCTCCAGGAATCTACAGAGACATGGCAACTAAACGCACAGTGGCATCCGGGATGAAATTCTGAACAGAAAAAGGACACGAAGTGAAAACTAAGGACATATAAATACCGTATGGATTTTATTAATAATAATGTATTAATATTGGCTGAAATTGTAACAAATGTACTGCACTCATGCTAATAACAGAGGAAACTGGATGTAGGGTATATGGGAACTCTCTTCACAACATTTCTATAAATTAAAACTGTTCTACTAGTAAAAAAATGAATTTTTTTTTTTTAAAGAGTCAAAAGGTTAAAAAAGATAGTCAATGAAAAGTCTCCCTTCCACCCTGGTCAGCTGTTCATCTTTTTCCCAAGAAAATCCCATGGTTCTTTCCAGGGAGGTTCCAGTGAGACCGCGGGGGTTAGTGCTAAGAGACCGCCTCCTAACTGGCTCTCACCCTGATCTCTGTCTGCCGTTTTCTAGCTGGGGGACCCTCGTAATTCCTTACCCGCTCTGTACTCCGTGTCCTCCAAGATAAACTCCTCAGGGGATTATTGGGAGTGTTAAATGTACATAGTAAGCACCTTATATTGATTGTTTTTATTATTACAAATATACAAGCAAATATATTTGTGCAACAAATATGTTAAGAGCCCTAGCCAGTTTGGCTCAGTGGTTAGAGTGTTGGCCCCTGGACCAAAGGGTTCTGGGTTCGATTCCAACAAGGGCGCGTACCTTGGTTGCAGGCTCCTTCCCAGCTCAGACCCTGGTCAAGGCCCATGCAGGAGGCAACCAATTGATGTGTTTCTCTCACATTGATGTTTCTCTCTGTCTTTCCTTCTTTCTTCCACTCTCTCTAAAAGTCAATGGAAAAAAATATTCTGGGGCAAAGATTAACAAAAAAACAAACAAAACAAATTCAGCCCTGGCTGGTGTTTCTCTGATTAGAGCGTTGGCTCATGCACCGAAGGGTCTCAGGTTTGATTCCGGGTCAAGGGCATGTACCTGGTTTGCATGTACCCTGGTCAGGGTTCATGTGGGAGGCAACCAAACGATGTGTCTCTCACAACGATGTTTCTCTTTTTCTCCCTCTCTCCTTTCTCCCTCCCTTCCTAAAAATATAAAGTGAGTACCACGATTTATTTAACTAGTTAATGAATGAACCAGCAGGATGGATCAAAGGAAGAAATGAAAACCATTATTGACAGTCAGTGGGAAAAAAGAATGCTGGAATAAGATTGCAAAGTTGATACATTGGAAAAAAATATCCTCAGGTGATAATTAACAACCAAAAAAAGAAAAGAAAAAGAGAAAAATTTCAAAACTTGTACATAAGGCACACACAAGAGATATTTTACACCATTGGCTAATCACCCCACCTATGGGTCGTCTAGGGGAAGTCACTTGGTTTGACATACAATTTCCTAGTGATGGGGGCCCAGCCTCTGTAAAATGAAGAGGGTTAACCTGTAGAAGATTGAAAAATAGCAAATCATTTTTGTCTGGTTGAGGGAAAAAAACCCAGTTACGATTTTATTGCAAGGCGGGAATTAACCTTTTGTATCAACTTTGCAACCTTATTCCAGCATTCTTTTTTTCCACTGACTGTCAATAATGGTTTTCATTTCTTCCTTTGATCCATTCTGCTGGTTCACTCATTAACTAGTTAAATAAATCTTGGTACTTACTTTATATTTGTACTAGTCAAGTTTAGCTCTGTGCAAATTTGACAAATAGTAGCATGCCATATGCACTGTTCTACCACTTGGCTATTTTTCACTCAAACCTCTGGAAGATAGTTTCATATCAGAGCATAAAGAGCTGCCTTGCTCCTGTTTTATCACATGGGTGTACAGTAATGACACCAAATCATTTAGCCAGTCCCCTGTAGACACATAGGCTGTTTCCACTCTTATGCTGCAAACAGTGTCATATGAATGACCTTGTGCATCGGATGAAGGCAGGAGGGGCTCCACAGGGCAGGGCGCCTGTGGGAGGGGGCTGACTCCCTGCTCCCAGTCTGGCCTAGCCCGTCTTCCCCTGGCTCTGTGCACACCTGGCCTCCTTCTCCTGACTCCTCCTCTGCATCCGGAGCTCCTGGTATCGCCAGACAGGAGGGGCCAGCCTGCGATGCCCTGCAGGCCTGGGCTCTGGCTCCCGCCGGCTGGGAGATGAGGGTGCCTTGGAGAGGAGGATCTGGGGGACTGGGGGCTTGGGGCTGGCACTGTCCCTGGGCTGTAGCCACTCAGGGCACATGCTCAGCACACCTTGAGGGCTCTGGTAAGGGACGAGGCCCCGGGGGCCAGGGACCACCTGTGGAGGCTGGGGGGCTGGGGGAGGTGGGGGAGCAGTGCCTAGCAGCTCTGGCACAGACTTGCTTCGGGTCCCAAGTGCAGGTGGGCGGTCAGGGCACAGAGTGTGGCAGGCAGTGGTGAGGAAGGGACTGGCTAGGCTGGTCGTGATGGTCACAAGGTGGTCCAGGACACCCCCCTCCTGAGGAGACTGGGCAAAGGGGAGGCTCAAGGTGGCCTGTAATCTCTCCAGCAGAGATGGGGCAACCTGAGACTGGGCCTGGGCCACGAGCCCGGGCAGGGCTGGCCACTCCGGTTGGTAGTGCTGGCTGAGCTGCTCCGCTTGGGGCCGCCGCCGCAGCTGCCGGATCCTTCGCACGGTGTCGAAGCTGTCGGTCAGCACCGCCCACTCCAGGGCCGTCTTGCCCCGAACAGGATCCACTGCTGTCAGGTCAGCACCTGGGAGGGGGCACGGGGCAATGTGGGCTGGGACGGGGATGGGTGATTTGCAGAAGGCAAATGCTTTAGCAGCAGGACTGATTTGGGTTAAATTCAAAACCAGAGGCCCACTCATCTTGTTACGGCTGGAATCTGGGAGTGGCTACAGCCCAGAGATAGGACCAGTCCCAGATCCCAACCTCTGTTTGAGATGGTGAAGGAAACTGACGTACAGAGAAGGGGAAAGACTTCAGAGAGACATGTTGGGGGTCTCCAAACCCAGAACAGAATAGGGACTCCTGAACCAAGGGCCCGACCAGGGGGGTGGTGTGCAGGTGGGTTGGAGGGGGGGTTCCCTGCTGGTCCTTCTTTTTATCACCAAACCCCTTTAATCCGGGGGGGGGGAGTAGCAAATACTCTGAGTCAAAGATGGGGGTGCAGGACTCCCTCCCTTCACACCCCAAACCCAATCTGAGGGGTGGGGAAGGGAAAAGCTGCAGGTTGGGGTCCCCCGGAGTTACCAGCAGAGGACAGCTCCCCTGAGGGAATAATGAGAGCCTACGGCTCCACAAACAGTGTGGGCTTCCCTCCAGAGCTCCACACAGCCACACGTCTCTGTACCGTCACTGTGGTCCTGGAACCCTAGCTGGGCAGAGCTGGAAATCATCTCGGAGAAGGCCTGCGCCTTCATTTCACTGGTGAGGCCCTGAGAGGGAAGCCACGCAGCTAGTGGCAGAGCCAGGATGAGGAGGCGAGGGTCTGCCTCCAGGTACCAGCCTTTTGTATTTCAGTTCTCCAGTTGGTCTAACCCAGTGGTCGGCAAACTCATTAGTCAACAGAGCCAAATATCAACAGTACAACGACTGAAGTTTCTTTTGAGAGTCAAATTTTTTAAACTTAAACTATATAGGTAGGTACATTGTTATTAACTTAATTAGGGTACTCCTAAGGCTTAGGAAGAGCCACACTCAAGGTGCCAAAGAGCCGCATGTGGCTCGCGAGCTGCAGTTTGCCGACCACTGGACGTATCCTCTCGCTTTCTTTTCTGGGACTTCCATTAACAATGTAAACAGAGCTATCTATAGCGGGACTTCGATTGTGAGAAGCCCAACCCCCTCCCCTCATCCAGGAAGCCAGCCTAGATTGATCCTCCGTCTCCACCTCTCTCCTCTCTGCAACTATGACAGCTGACTCGGTGTCTGTTGGGGTGTCTGTTGGGGTGACTGGGGAGGGACTGGAGGCCATGCATCCTGGTCCGTGCAGGCCTATGCACCTGCCATGAGGAGGGCCGCCACGCATTCAGAGCGGTCCCGGACTGCGGCCTTCATCAGCGCTGTCAGCCCCCGCTGGTCTCGGCGCTCCAAGTCCAGGCCCGAGTAGTAGTTGAGCAGGAGACTCACCAAAGGCACGTGGCCTGCAGAGCACCGAAGGCAGATCTGGGATCCCAGGAAAGGGGTGGTGAAGCCCCAAACCCACCCTCCACCCAACACTGCGGAGTCTGGGGTGGGAGAACGTCATTCGGAGTGTGGAGCTGTGGCCGGGTCTGGAGGCCGGGACTGGCAGAGGGTGGGGTCAGCAGCCTCCCACCTGCTTGGGCAGCCAGCATGAGGGCTGTGTCGCCTTCTTTGTCCTGTTGGTTCACATCCAGGAACGGACAGCGGCTGAGTAGGGCCACGATGCTCCCGAAGCCGCGGTAGCTTGCAACCATGAGGCCTGTCTGCGGGAGGGGCCGCTCAGCCCCGTGCTTCCCTCCAGGAGCTCCCGGTTCCCTGTGCCGCTAAACCCACACTGTCCCAGAGGTATCCCTGCCCCGTGAAGACCTGCTCCCTTCTTCCTGAGGACCCAGGCACTCTCAGGATGAGTGTGGTGTGGCCGGACCCAGAGCTGCCCTGGGAAGCACCTGGTAGCTCACCCTCCCATTGCCGTCCACCTGGGTGGCCTCCTTAGGGGAGACCCCGTCCTCCAGCACAGCTTGAAGCTGGGCAGAGTCGTTGCGCACACAGGCCCAGTACAGGGCCCCCAGCCTGCAGTCTGGGGCAGGGGTCTCACTGTCCGGGCAGGACGGTGCCTCAGACATGTCCAGTGCCCCCCTCCACAGTGGCAGCTCTTCCTCCTCCAGCCTGGGGGCAGAAGTGAGTCCCCCCTCCGTGTGCAGCTGACATCTGTAACACAGAATGGAGGGGAGCAGGGAGGGGGCTCACCAGCTGCAAGTCTCCCAACGCTGGCCCTTGCCCGGGGAGAGCCTTTTCCCACTGGGTATCCCGTCCCACCCAACCTTTGAGGAAGGACAGGTGGAGGCAGGGAGGACACCAGGAGGCAGGGAGGACACGTGGAATATCCCCAAAAGGGCAGGAGTGGTTCACGGGAAGTGAGGATCCCAGGGAGATTCAAGAGGGCAGGGCTTCTCTTTCCCATGGGACCTCACCTAGGGTTGGGGGCTCCCTAGGAGGCAGTCACTGCTGGGGCCCACAGCCTCCCCCAGACTCCTGGGAGCACACTCACCAGTCTCTGGAGCGCTGGAGTGGACTTTCTCTCCCCAGGAAGCAACGCAGATGACAGATGGCCAGACTTAAGCTGGCTCAAGTCGGTAAGTAAGGATGGGGGCCGGAGGGGCGGGTGCTCTCCTCCGCAGCCGCCCAAGACCCGCCCCCAGGTCCTGCCCCGAGTGGGCGGGGCCCAGGTCCCAGCTGCTCCTCCCTGCGGGGTGGCTCTGAGAGGAGGACCCTCCTGTCCTCCAAAGGCGCTCACCTTCCACCTTCTGGGGAGACCAGCTGCAAGAAACACATGCATGGAAGGTGGAAGGGTCATGAGGTCTCTGAACACCCCAAGTCCCTTTCCCTTCGGCAGAGTGTGACTTGATGAGGCCGTGGGTGTGAGTGTGGACATCTCTCTAAAGAGGGCAGACACTGGGAAGGACGGGGAGGGCTCCTGTAGTCATCTGAGCCTATTTGTTTAAGTTTTGGGGAAATTAAAACTTAAAGAATTGCCTAATTAGAACTACAGAGATTATGATATATTACGTTTAATGGAATAGTTTTTTGTTTTATATATTTTACTTGAGGCCTGGTGCACAAAATTCGTGCACTTGGGGGAGGGGGGGCCGTCAGCCCGGCCTGCGCCCTCTCGCAGTCCGGGAGCCCTCGGGGGATGTCCGACTGATGGCTTAGGCCCGTGGAGAGTGGGCCTAAGCTGTCAGTCAGACACCCTTGGTGCTGCCACAGAGGTGGGAGAGGCTCCCGCTACTGCCGCTATGCTCGCCAGCCATGAGCCCAGCTCAGGGTTTCTGGCTGAGCGGTGTTCCCCCTGTGAAAGTGCACTGACCAACAGGGGGCAGCACCTGCATTGAGTGTCTGCCCCCTGGTGGTCAGTGCACATCATAGCAACCCATCGTTCCCTCGTTTAGTCAATTTGCATATTAGCCTTTTATTATATAGGATTCATTTTTTTACAGAGAGGAAGAGAGAGGGATAGAGAGTTAGAAACATCGATGAGAGAGAAACATCGATCAGCTGCCTCCTATACATCTCCTACTGGGGATGTGCCCGCAACCAAGGTACCTGCCCTTGACCGGACTCGAACCTGGGACCCTTCAGTCTTCAGGCTGACGCTCTATCCACTGAGCCAAACCAGCCAGGGCTAATGAAATAGTTTTGGTGTGGTAAAATAAATATGAAATATTTAAGTTGTATTAATATTAAGATACATTAATTTAATTATTCAAATTAAGTTATTTATAATTATGTATTACTTTAATAATAAATTATTCCTCAAAGTAATATTGATATTAAAAGTAATGGATTGGTTTTGGACCTCAGGTGTTGACAATTGAGCCAATCATAATCCTCTGTTTATACCACTCCCAGCCTTATGGAGTTTATTTCTTTTATTCCTGATTTCCATAGCTCATTCCCCTCCTACTTCTCCTTACCAATTGGCACATATATCCTTGAAACTGTACATTTCATTGAAAAATGTAGTGCTGATTGTGTATGTTTTAACTAACACCTTAGAATTATGTGACCTTGGCCTTTACTCAGTGCTGCTTTCAAGACCTATCCTGTTGCTCTCTGTGCAGTGTTTCAGTCAGGAGTGCCTTTGGTCATCAGTAATCCAAAGCTGACCTCATGGTGTGGTTGCTGCCCCTGACTGGCTGCTCCACACGAACCCAAAACTCCTTTCAGTGTTTCTTCTGAGCCGCTGAGCTGGAAAGCTAAACCACTTCCCGGATCCCCCTGAGGGAGGAATCCGTGATTTAGGTTCTGCTCTTGTGCAAGGCATAAATTTAGAACAGCGCTAAATAGCATGGGACATCCGTTTTGCCGTCACAGATCACCACAGATGCACTGGCGCTCTGGTGAGCAGCTTCCTGATTCGTCAGCTTCCTGTAGTGGTGAGTGTTGTTTTCCTGATCGCAGACAGAGGTCATGTGCCTCTCAAAGCTGGGCGTTGCTCCTGGACCTGGAGCCTGCTTCTCCCTCCTTTTCTGTTTAAACGAGCCAGGTTTATTTCTGCAACTGAGCCCTACCTGATACAAGTGGCATAAACAAATAAAGGTTTATTCTTCACACAAGATAAAAAATTCCTGGATAAGAGGCTTTTGGTGTTGATGTAACTTGATGTCAGGGCCTTGTCTGGGAATCTCTTGACTTTTCCTCATGGTCACAAAATGGCTGTTGTACCTCTACCAATCCCAGTAAAACGCGGTGAATTCCATGCAGCGTTTGGAAGAAATCTACTAGATGATGTGTTAGTCATCACTGATTAAATGCACAATCCCTATTTATAACCTCCCTTCTCTTTAGTCACCTTTTGGTTAAGTGTGACCATGTAACACAATTGTGGCCAATGAAATGCCAGCAGGTGGGCGGAGCCCCTGGAAACACCTTGCTGTCCTAATAAAAGGTGTGGGGCATACCTTTTTACCTCCCCCCTTCTTCCTTCGGCATTGAATTCCATATGTGCATCCATCACATTTTGCTTATCTTCCTTTTAGTGATGGACACCTAGGCTGCCTCCAACTTCCTGCCTCTGCAAGTAATGCTGCAATGAACATCCTTGTACATATCTAGTTGCAGGCCTGCAAGAGAGCATGTCTGAGATTGCTGGTCATCGGGCACATACATGTCATTGACCAGGTACTGTCAGGTTGCTCTCTATTATGCACTCACCGCTGGTATGTGCACATACCAGCAGTGAGTGCATGTCTCCCTACATCCTAGTAAACACTTGTAATTATTTGGCCTTCTAATTTTTGTCAATCTGATGGCACAGAACTATAAAGTGGTATTGCTATTTTACACTGGATTTTTCTGGTTATCAACCAGATGGGCATTCTCCACATACCTGATAGCCATTCTTATTTCCCCTCCTATGAATTGCCTGTTCGTAGCCTATGTTTAATGTTCTATTGAATTTTCCTGTTTTTAAATTTTTATTTTTCAGGAATTCCTTTTAATATTCTAGATAATAATCCCATATCAGGTTTAAATGTGGCAACAGTGCTATAAACCTTTCTGCTAGCTTTACCTGTGATGAACTTCATTGAAAGAAATCCTGTATTTTGATGTGGGTAAATTCATCAAAATTTCTCCTTACACTTTGTTCTTTTGGGTCTTGTTTTAAAAGAATTTCCCACTCTAGGATCACAAAGATCTCATTTCTTTTATTAATTTTACAGTTGTATTTTACTCTTTAGTCTTTAATCCATCTAGAATTTACTTTCATACACGGTGTGAGCAAGGGATCTGTTATGGGCTGAATTGTGTCCCCCAAAATTCACACATTGAAACCCTAGCCCCCCAATGTGACTGTATTTGGAGATAGGCCCTTTATGAAGATACTTAAAATTAAGCGAGGTCATATGGTGGGGCCCTAATACAATGGGACTGCTGTCATTTTAAGAAAAGGAAGAAACACCAGAGGGTGCACTCATTCTCTTCCCCCTCCCCCCCATGTGAACATAGTGGAAAGACCATGTCATGACATAGTGAGAAGACAGCTATACACAAGCCAAGGAGAGGCCTCATCAGAAACCAACACTTTGGCACCTTGATCTTGGACTTCTAGCCTGAAGAACTGTGATAAAATAAATTTCTGTTGTTTAAGTCACCCAGTATGTGGTATTTTGTTATGGCAAAAGACTGGATTTCTTTTTAAAATATATATTTTATTGATATTTTTACAGAGAGGAAGGAAGAGGAATAGAGAGTTAGAAACATCGATGAGATAGAAACATCGATTCAGCTGCCTCCTGCACACTCCCCACCAGGGATGTGCCCGCAACCAAGGTACATGCCCTTGACCGGAATCAAACCCGGGACCCTTCAGTCCGCAGGCCGACGCTGTATCCACTGAGCCAAACCTGTTAGGGCTGGATTTCTTTTTAAAAAAATAAATCTTTATTGTTGAAAGTATTACATATGTACCCTTTCCCCCCATTAACCCCCTCCAGCCCAGCCCACCCCCACTCCAGGCCTTCAACACCCTATTGTCTGTGTTCATGGGTTATGCATGTATGCATACAAGGTCTTCGGTTGATTACCTCTCACCCACCCACCTTCTCCCGCCTTCCCTCCAAGATTCCTCACTCTGTTCCATGCTTCCATGTCTCTGGATTCACTCCATTCATCAGTTTATTTTTTTAATTACTAGTAGATTCCACATATGAGTGAGATCATGTGATACTTGTCTTTCTGTGACTGACTTACTTCACTTAGCATGCATGATACTCTTCAGGTCCCTCCACACTGTCTCAAAGGGTAAGAGATTCTTCATTTCTACTTCTGCATAGTATTCGATGGTGTAAATGTACCATAGTTTTTTTTTATCCGCTCACCTACTGATGGGCACTTGGGCTGTTTCCGGATCTTAGCTATTGTAAATTGTGCATACATTCTTTCTGATTGGTGCTTCTGGTTTCTTAGGATATATTCCTAGAAGTGGGATACTGGGTCGATTGGCAGTTCCATATTTAATTTTTGAGGAAACTCCATACTGTTTTCCATAATGGCTGCCCCAGTCTGCATTCCCACCAGCAGTGTACTAGGGTTCCCTTTTCTCCACATCCTTGCCAGCACTTGTCATTTGTTGATTTGTTGATGCTAGCCATTCTGACAGGTGTGAGGTGATACCTCATTGTCATTGTAATTTGCATCTCTCTGATGATCAGTGGCTTTGAGCATTTTTTTTATATGTCTCTTGGCCATCTGTATGAAGAGTGGCTTTCTTTAAGTCTGTCATCCACTTTACTAATTCTCTCTTTGGTTATATCTAATCTGCTGTTCAATCTGTCCATTTAATTATTTTAAAGATCTATGATTTCAAACGTGAAATGAATTGACATTGTTGAAATAGGCTAAATAATAGCTCCCAAGAGATGTCCATATCCTAATCACCAGAACCTGTCAATAAGTTACATTACATGGCAAAAAGACTTTAAGATAAAATTAAGTTAAGGAGATTATCTTGGATTGTATGGATGGGCTGAGTCTTGCTGATAGTCTTTTTTCCTTTTCTGTTTAATGGGGTTTTTGGGTTGTTCTTTTTTGTTTTTCTGTTTACTGTGATGTATTTATT